CACACACACACACGGGGAAGTCACAGAGGAATGACCCTGAATGACGCAGGGGTCAGTGTGAACCAAACTGTGAGGAGGGGGTTATACACAGCACCGCTTGTAAGAAACTAAAATTGACTGTATATGTATGTTTGATTGACAAATATAATGGTAGAGCCCAAAGATGAAGGGTTTCCAGTGGACCTTTGAAAAGAACAGGTCTTGTTATCTGAACAGGTAAAGCATGGCACAAATGCTGCCAAGTATACATGACTGATTCTTCTTGGCTTGAAAAGAAAGCCACACATTTAATGATTCAATTGTTACATTTATCCATCACAAACTTCTGATGTCAATGTTAAGGAAAAAAACAATAAAAGCAAATTCTCTAAGATGCATCGATATCGAGGTCACTTGTGTCATCACTTACTCCAGGCCTATAGTATAAATAAAGGCTGAGACAGAGAAACATTTGTTAGGCCCATTGATTCTTTCAAAATCTTCATAATACAGACTTTCTTCATCTTTTTCTTGACTTAAATTTCTCTGCTGTACCATGTGGCGTGCTTACTCTTTTCACTCACGTCATTCTGGTTGGTGATGGGGACAAGCTGCAGGGGATGGAGATTAAGTGGCAGCCATGCAAGGTATTATGGGTAACGTCTGTGAGGGACAGCGTGTCTTGGGTATAAAGGTGACATACAACCGCCATGGGCAACTCACTAGCAGGAGGATTGAAAGAGAGAGAGAGAAGAGGAGAGCGAGAGACAGAGGGAAAGCAGACAGACAGCTCATCGGAGGAAGTGTGATTCGGGCTGCCCAATAATGACACCATTGCCAAAGACAACTGACAAGACACATGGAGAGTGGAAGAGGGAATGCGGAAGACAGCGAGAGGGAGAGAGAGTGAGAGGGGGGAGAAGACAAGCAGCAGAGGGGAGAGGGTGTGATGTGACAGCCCAGCAGTGCCAACGGCTGCCACAGAAAGGCCAGCGGCGGCAGAGAGGTGCTGTCTCCCATGGAGAGAGACAGAGGGGGATGCAGAAACAGAGAGAGAGAGAGAGA